CACTGTTTCATCACTATTCTAACGTTATTTTTGACTTCTTCACTCATAGGTGGACCCACCGGTATTTTCTCTAACGATCAAAAAAATCAATTCTCATAATCACTACTGAACAGACCCTAAAAATATATATAGTTTACAACAACACTTCCCTTTTAAAGTTTCAACATGTTTTTTCAGAAAATAGTAAATTATACTTTATTGTCAAAACTCTAATCAATAAAAGATTATTTATACTTCAAGCAATTTTTTTTTTCTTTTTTTATTTTTTACATACAGACTGTGTAAGCTCAGTAAAATATGCTCTAAAATGTTTTTTCAATAAATTTGTTGACGGATCTCGCTCAATTTGATTTGATGCTAGATATATGTTAGATATATCGAACTATTTCTAATTTAGAAAATAGTAAGAATTAAATTCAGAATAACAAAAAACAAATACAAATACGAATCACAAAAATTTAACACGGCATAATAATCTAGCCTATACGTTATAGAGAGACATAAATTTTCACTTACATCAATGAAAGGAAAATGAATACAAGAATAAAAATAATGCTATTTAGTCTCATTAGGATTATAATTTCAATCTATATCATATTAATGTGATATTAAATGATAGGTTAAATGAAATAAGTTATTTAGTTTAAGTATTTATTTGACCTATTTTATTTAACTTATAATTTAATGCCATATTAACAGCAACGAAAGGAACAAGAATACAAAAATAAGAGTAATACTACTTCACCACATTGGAATTATAACTGCCGTCTAACATTTCATTTAATACCATATTAACGCCACATAAATTGCGATTATAACCTACTACATATCATTAATCCAAAAATAAACCCTTGTAATTTTCCTTGCCTAAGCCGAATTATCTCAATTTTGCTAATATATTATTACATAATTCCTGTTTGGACCCACTATTAATTACAACATATAATTTCCCATCCACAAAGACTATTAGCATTTAGCTTTTATTTGAAAATCATTATTATGAGAAATTTGGGTCAAATGTATTTTGAAATAATAGTGTTTTAAAGAATGTGCGGTTGAGAAAGAATATTTATTTATTTATATATAATATTATTTTATTGAAAAATGTTTATTTAATGAGAAGAGAGATAAGAATATTTTCCTAGACAAGCGCCTGTTTGAGACCCCTTCTTTTTGTGTTTTCAATTTTTTTTTTGTACAGTAGACGTAGTCACGTAGGGCCATTACTCAATTAATGCTGTCATTTCAACTCCATTTCATGGAATATGGTACTATTCTACCGGGGTAGCGCACTTCATCTCACATTTGGGGATGAGCTGGGTATTTTGGGGGTATTTTTTTTAACAATGAAGGACCCACAGAGGTGAGAAAATGTGAGAGGAGGGTAGGGTTGTCAACGGTTCGATTATAAGTCAGTTCAGCCAAAAACATAACCACACCACCAATTTTTAACCATACTATAATCGCAGCATAACCACGTAAATCGATTCGGTTCAGTTCGGCACGTATCTCAATTCGGCACGATTCGGTTCAGTTAATAACCGCGAAAACAAATTATATTTTATAGGTTCATTCGTCAAATTGATATAAAACAATTTATACAAAAAGTCAATGAAAACAAAAATACAATATTCCAAACGAAAATGCAAACATTTTCCCAATTTCAATTGCAAAATACAAATTTAACAAACAATATTATAAATATAACAATACTAAACTTTTCTTTCATTCTTAATTGTTGTGCATCAAAGTTACTTGATTCATTATTCCCTACAAGTCTTACTATCATAGATCAGCATTTAAAGTTGATTCCTACATAGTAAATAAGAAATGTAAGTAGAAAATACAACGATACTTTCTATTTCAGAATGGTCTTAACTAAGATTTAAATTAAAAAATGCACCTCTTCGCCAGCTTCCTTCTCGCTAAACGTTGCACAAACTCTAGAGTATGACGAAAGAGTATAATTTTCTACACACAATAGAAAAAAATTAACAATAAAAGGAAGTGTATAAATAATAAATATAAAACAATAAATCCACCATGAATATCAGTCCAAATCTAATCCCAAGCACACATGAAAGCTTCTAAAGTCTTTTGGTGAAACCTATTTCTATATGGACTCATATATCTACCACTTATACTAAACTCTAACTCGAATGCCACGGTAAATACTGGAATGGCTAATAAATCCCTTGTAACCTTCTATAAAGTCGGATATTTTATTAAATTTGCTTTCCACCATGTCAATAAATTAAAACAATCCTTACTTGGCAATACTGGCACGTCTAGAAAAATATCGAACTTTGTTTTTACATGATCAGCAGTAATAGAATGCCTAACAAATTTCTGGAGGCGACGACGACTTGGACCGTGGAGGCAGTGGAGCCGTGCGTGAGTTTGTGGTTTGTGGAGAGTAGGGTTTGATTTTATATACCGTCATACTAACGATATTATTATGGGCTAATGGTAAGTGGGCTGGATGACTGAGTCAGGTAGATATAATGGGGGGATTTTGTTTTGGCCTGAATAGAAAAGTAGTGTAAAGCCCAATAATCAATTTAATTGTTGTTGCTGTTGTTTTTTTTTTTTTTTTTAAGCGGGTAATCGGTTCGGTTTCAGTTCGACAGCGTAAATACCATACCCGCACCACCACGAACCGATTCATTAAAATCAAAACCATATCCACCCCATTGTACAATCGGTTTAGTTTTTTTCTCCCCATTCGATTCGGTACCGCAATTTTCGATTTCGACGGTTCGATTAACCTCTTACAAGCCTGGTAGAAGAGCTTAATTCATATTTTATGTCTATTTTGCTGGAGTTCCAAAAGTACCCAAAATCATTTATTATCGTCAAACAATCACGGTTGGTTGTTTGGTAAATTGAGAGCGTTTGAACAAGGGTAGAAATGGAAATTTCAATTTCAATGGTAGTACTAAGAGCAAATCCTAGGGCCTCTTTAAAAGTGGAATACTCTCTATTTTAAAAAGTCAATATTTAAAATTTTACTCCAATAAACTCTTCAATTATATATTTTAAAATAGAGAGTGAGTTTGACTCTCAAAATTTAGAGAGCCAAACCTACCTCTCTATAATTTAGCCCCCGTATGGCATTTATTGATTTTCATTTCATTACATTCTATTTTTCTCTCTTTTATTTTTAACCACACAATTTTCCATAAAATAATATTACACGTAAATCAAAATATTTTCCTTCTTTTTCAACCATTTATTTTTCAAAAAATCACTATTCCATCCATTTTATTTCCAAAAAAATGGGGGCAAAACAGGGACTTAATGCTTCAAAGGTTTCAACTTCCAATATACAATATATTGACTTAATTAAATAGTATGTGCAAATCTCAATATTTTTTCATTGAATCATTGCAAGGCTATTGAAGCACTTTAAAATTAAATGTTAAAAATAATAAGTCCCCGTTTGGCCCATATTTTTGGAAATAAAAATGGATGGAATAGTATTTTTTTTAAAAATGAGTAGTTAAAAATGAAAGAAAAATTTTCGATTTACGTGTAATATTATTTTATAAAAGATTGTGTTCTTGAAAGTAATAAATAGAAAAAATGAAATGTAATTTAATTTAATAGGGGTCAAACGAGGCGTAAATATATATTGAGAATGCTAAAAATAAATATTAAAAACAAAGAGGTTATTGGAGCACTTTAAAATTTTTGTTTTTTAAGTTTATAGATACTCTTTAAATTAGATTAGAGAGTTTCTTATAGATGTTCTCTCTGTCAAAAGAGTTGATTCTTGCCAGAAGCCTTGCAATTTTAAATTAATATATTACTGTTTCAGAAATTAGAACGCATTAAAAAAGGGCATTTAATGGTGGGGACTTGAATCATCAGTCTCTTCTGTACCAGACTTTACTTTTCAACACGAAATGAATTTTGTAAAAGGTTGGGGTCCGTGGGTTGAGTCTTTTCCCTCCCCCTTATTTTTTATTATTATTATCCTTTCCTTTTGACCTTTCTGGGTTTCAATTTTTTTTTTTTATAAAAATATTTGTATAAAATCTTATTTACAAAATAATTTACTCGCTCTCACAAAATTATCGGATTCCACGTGAATTTAAAAAATGTGGGATTGTGATCCTCACCTTCATTGTGAATAGTGAGTAAGAAAGTTTGTAAGAAAAATTTGAATCACCTGATATCTAACTTCGTATGTTACGATTCTCATTTATGTTTATTGGGTAACTGATTAGTATTTACGAATCTAATTTTAGGCATGAATTTGTAATGAGGGTAGTCTTTCCAAAGCTATGTCTTAAACTTTTGCTCCTTCATCTCATCTAATTCTCGAACTTCCTCTTGTATTAGTATTTTCAAAGCTTGTTTGTCATCCTTCTTCAAAATAAATTGTCTGCTACCGTAATATTCACCACCACATATTCACACAATAAAATATTCTACACACAAATCAATAATTTTTTTTTTCAACCACACATTCTTCAAAAATTATTATTCAAAACTTTGGGAGGTGTTTGATAGACATTTTTATGTAAAAATGTATTTTAGAATAGTGAATTGATGTAAAATGTATGGTTGAGAAATAAGAAAAAGTTTTTGATTTACATGTAAAATAATTTTAATAAAGAATGTGTGATTGAAAAGAAGAGAGAGATGTATTTTGAAAAAAATAACTACCTTAGAGCCTTTATATTTTCTACTAAAATGAAAGACAAACAAGGGCTCAATCAATAGAGAAGGAAGTGATCAATGTCAAATCCCATCCCGAACATTGTACACGTTTAATTGAATATGTGGACTAGAAGCAACATTGTAGAACATTAGGGCCCAACTACCATGTGATGTTTTTTTCACCATTAGTTACACCATTGCTTTTTTCCATCTGATGAATACTCATATGATCCCTCAGTACTAATACCAAACCACAAACATCTGCATTCTCCCTCTCCCTCTCCCTCTCCCAAGTCAATCAATCACACACGACACTATTCCAAAGCAAGAAAATGGATGCTGCAATTAGTGTTCCCGTTCGAGTTACATTGCAGAAGTTGCTTGATCTTGCCCATCCAGACCTGAGTCTGCTGTGGAATTTCAAGAAAGACTTAAAAAAGTTAGACGGATTGTTGAAAATGATGGATCTTGTCTTACATGATGCTGAGAAACGCCAAGTTACAGAAGAGGCCGTCAAGCTCTGGTTGAAGAACCTTCGAGATGTTGCTTACGATGCTGGTCATGTCTTAGATGAGATCAACTATGAAAATATGCGTCATGTGGTGGATATGCAAGACTGGACTAAGATATGGGAGTGCTTAGACATCTTTTGCTTTATCCCTCGTTTGGTGTTCCAATGGAGAATGGCTTGTAGGATCAAGGAGATAAATGTCAACTTCGAGGATATAAACAAACAAGCTAGTGACCTTGGCCTCCAGAGAGGTGCGGGTTATGCTCTCAATGTGCCTCCGGAAACTGACAGCATAACTGTTGATCCAATTGACGTTGGAAGACAAGATGACGTAGTAGAAATTGTGCAGAAGATAACCAAAGCAAATGACGCAGTTATTTCAGTCCTTCCCATAGTTGGAATGGGAGGACTAGGCAAAACAACTTTAGCTCGGTCGGTCTTCAATCATCCGAGCACACAGAGTCATTTTGATGAAACGATTTGGGTATGCATCTCAAAAAATTTTGATGTGACGATAATTTTTAAAAGGATTCTGGAATGCTTGGAAGACACTTCTGATGGAGACAACAGGGAAGCTATAGTGAAAAAGCTTGGAAAGAAATTGGGAGGCAAAAAATACTTTCTTGTTCTTGACGATATTTGGAATGAAAACAGACAATTTTGGGATGATTTTAAAAATACTATGGTTGGAGTTAACCCCAATAAAGGAAATGTCATCATGGTGACTACACGTGATGAAAGGGTGGCATCAATTGTGAAAACTTACAGAGATCCATACAAGTTGGAATTATTAAAAGATGATCAATGCTGGACAATAATCAAAGCTAGGGCCTTTGGAGATGCAGAAGTACCAGAACGATTTGAGAAAGTTGGATATGAGATTGCTTGCAAATGTAGAGGTCTACCATTAGCAGCAAACATGGTCGGCGGAACTTTGCAAGGAAAGGAAGTAGCTGAGTGGATTTCAGTTCTAGAGAACGGGCTTTCAAATCTTGAGGCAAATCAGAACATTGTGTTCCAAGTTTTAAAGTTAAGCTTTGATCGTTTATCTTCTCCATTACTCAAAAAATGTTTTGCCTATTGTTCAATATTTCCTGAGGATTCAAAAATAGAGAGAGAAGATTTAATCCAACTCTGGATGGCGGAAGGATTTCTTCTGAAGAATGGAGAAAATAATATGGAGACTCTAGGCAATAACTATTTTAACAATCTGTTGCAAAATTCCTTCCTACAAGAGGCCGAAAAGGATGACTATGGAAATATCAAATACTGCAAGATGCATGATCTTGTGCGTGAGCTTGCATGCTCAGTTTCAAATTCAGAAAGCTTTAATGCCGAGGATTGCTCTACTGATGTCATCCCTAAAGTTAGATACCTTGCAATGAAATTGCTGGAAAAGGAACAAGTGATAACAGAAGAGAAAGCAAATTATCTGCGCACGTTTTTCTTGCAAAGGAGAAGCTTACCTGATAAAATTTTGCCATGGTTCAAGCACCTGCACACTCTTAGCAGCAGCCCAACTTCTTTGGAAGTGCTCTCGATCAGCCGAATATCATCGGTTACTCAGTGCTTCTATAGGTAGTAAACCACTTCCTATTTGGACACATATGGTAAGAGCATCCGGAGTCAAGAATCCACTTACCGGAGGTCTCTTCATCACAAGAGATGGTGTAGCACTCATCGCTTTCCCCTTCTTCCGAGGCATAGCTTACCTCTTGCTTGACTTGCACCTTCCCACTGTTGTTGTTCTTATTGTTCTTCTTCCAATCCTTTTTGTTTGGACAATTCGCCTTGAAATGCCCAAACTCGCCATATTTGAAACAAGACCTTTCCGCAAGAGGTCTAGAACTCGATCAAACAAAATTCCCGTCATGGACTATGAGAATGGAAGTATTCCTTGATGGCCGTGGTTGGTTGAAACTTGATAAACTGATCGATGTCTTCTTCAGTAATTGCGAAAATTGTGAAGAAATTCCCATGTTTGGTCTCCTACCACTCCTCAAATATCTGACCTTGGATGGTTTGAATAATTTACAATCCATAGGTCCTTCTTTCTATGGTGGCCAAGAGACAAGAGTAATGTTCCCAGCGCTTGAAAGACTTATTCTAAGCAACATGCCAAACCTAACAGCGTGGGCAGAAGCTGAGGTGATGCCAGTGGTGGAAACACGAAAATGCAGAGAGCAGGTATTTCCTCGCCTTGAAGATTTGAAGATTAAAAATTGCCCCAAATTGATTACTTCTCCAAGTCATTTCCCTTGCTTGAAAAAATTGGAGATTGATACTATAGAGAGTGATTTTCCATTGACAAAAATTTTGAGTAGCAGCAGCCCAACTTCTTTGGAAGTGCTCTCGATCAGCCGAATATCATCGCTTACTAGTCTTCTTCCTCACTTGCAAGGATACCAGAAATATCTTCGAGAGTTGACTATTGAAGATTGTGAAAAATTGAGAGAATTACCCGATGATCTACACAGCTTCCAGTCTCTCATCATTTTGAGAATATTTGAATGTCCAAGTCTGCAATCAATTTCTTATCAAAGTGGACAAAAAGGTCCCCCTTCTCTTCGAACGTTGGAAATTAGTTCTTGCTCTGAGCTGAGCTACCTACCAAGTGAGATGATTGAGTCCATTAGGTGTCTGGAGGATCTAAGTGTAACTAGGTGCAACAAACTCGTTTCTATTTCAATAGATTTGGGGGAATTGCCTTGTATCTCAAGGTTAGAGATATCCTATTGTTTTGAATTGAGGAATTTGCCCAAGGGAATTGGCCGTCATAGCAAGTTAACAAAATTGACCATCGGTGGTTTCTCAAAATCAATTGATTTCAACTCATTCCAAACTGTTCTCGACGACATCGGACAATCCAAATCTCTTCGGAATTTGTCTTTAAATGGTTGGAAACATTGTGACTCGTTGCCATATCAATTTCAGCATCTCACTTCGCTCGAAAGTTTGACATTGTTTGATTTTGGAATGGAAGCATTGCCAGAGTGGTTCGGGGGTCTGTCATCTCTTTCAAGTTTATCTCTGTGTGCATGTTATAAGCTTAGGCATATGCCCTCTAAGGAAGCAATGCAACGCCTCAAAAAGCTACAATATCTTATCGTTACTTGCTGTCCATTGTTACGGGAGATGTGCAGGGAAGAAAACAGCCCTGATTCTGAGTGGTCAAAGATTTCACATATTCGTCACATAGGTGGAGTGGGCCCAGGTTTTTAAAGAGGCCTGATCTGCTGATATAGTTGTGGTAAGTATTTGAGCTCAATCACTTAATTTTTCATTATTTCCATTTATTATACATTACAATGTCATTAATTGGTATATTTTAGTGTATTTTGCATATTGCTACATGAATTCAATCAACAAATCGCCAATCATTCACTCCCATATCAATCACTATTTCTATTCGTAAATACATAAAAAATTTCACATATTCCTTCATACATGATACACATTACATATCTTGACAGTACCGTTGTGATCAAAGAGACATAATATAGCCATTGTTCGGTAGTGAGTAAAATCAGATTTTTAGTGGATTTTGATAAAAATTGATGAAATATATAGTTGAAAAGTTGTGAGCTCATAAAATGTGTGGTTAAAATTAGTTGTTGACTTTGATTTAAATTAAAATTTGAGTTTTAATTGATACCAAACAGGGGCATGATTGGTCCATATTTGGTAAAGTCAAAATCAAATTAAGGAACTTTTTAGAATTTGCTAATAGTTTATAATTTTTACTATGTTGAAATTATTATTGCAGTTCATATTTGACAAGGTTCTCTATTCACAAGTCAATTATGCTTAAGCTGGTATCCATACTAGAGTACATAAAAGTTACTTTCTAGATTTTTGCTCAAATATCTATAAGTAAAATTAATTTATTTTTTCCTTTCATTATTGTCAGTGGGAAATGGATATTGACTAGTCAAATGTTTGAGGCGAAATATGCGATTTGACTTTTGATGGAGTGAGCAAAAAAAAAAAACTTTTCCAGCGTAGATTCTTGGGGGAACTAGGTATTTCTCTTTCGAACACTATTTCAAGAATGATTGAAGTCCAGAGTGCTCGGAGATTATGAATTGTTAATTTCTATACATCGAGTTTGTTAAAGTCAATTCTATACACTATTGTGCTTTGAATTATTTCTTAGTGTTTATCAAAATATTATTCTGCTTGAATTATTTCTTAGCTCAAGGAATTGCTGGTCGTATTTTCTATTTTATCATATTAAATTTTGTATTGCTTTACGTGATTTTTTAGAATTTTGCATTGGTGAATCAATTAGCGAGGATGATGATAAGTTTTTTATTTTTTCCCCATTAATGTGGTACTAGGAATCAATTTGACATATATAATTTTCCTTATTTGAATTTACGCGTTAATTGTTTTTCAGCAAACTTTAAATCTACTTTGGACATAATCACGAATAAGAACTAACTTACAGCAAAAATGAAAGGTAACAGATTGATGGAGCTCAATATTATGCCTCAGTTGATGAATATGGCACTGTCTTTTACTTGCGTGAACACGAACTATTCAATATAGGTTTTCTACAAGTACAATATTTATTATTTATTAATACACCTTAGTGGGAAAGCTGTTGGGTCCTTTTGCCCTTTTGCAGCATGGTATGTGATTGGATGATTATTAAGAGCCTGTTTGAGAGCGATTTTTTCACCCAAAAAATTGATTTTTTGATCGTTATTTCACTATTTCAACCGTCATATTTGATTTATTCTCTCATAGGTGGACCCCACCTTTCTCCTAACGGTCAAAAAATCGATTCTCAAAATCACTCCCAAACAGGCTCTAAGAGTCTCGATACAGTGTCATGTGATTGCACAATTTAAATTATAAATAAATAAATAAATAAATATATATATATATAGAAGCGATTGATAAATAAGTGCTTAATATTTGTGAGTCCCTTAAAATCAAATTGACTTGAATATTTATAAATCGTTTATAAATATGAGCTAAACATAAGCTAAAAGATTGTATATTTAGGAGGGAGATTGGGTGGACTATCTTCTAATTCGATTTTTAGTGAATTATCTGGAACAAAGGTTTCAAGAATCAAGCTGCAACTACAATTTTTAAGTGAGAACTCTTATAATAATTGAGATATTCAGTACATGTCTATGTAAGTCAAAATTGACTTGATGAAATTATGGTTTGAATAAGTGAAATAAGTATATCCTTACCAAATTGTGTGCAATTTTCTAATAAATGACTTTATTTTTAAGTAGTTCATTTCATTATTATTATATATTACATACTGCTGGTTAGTACCGTATATGATTACATGTGCCTAAGTACCATATCATTTGCTCGAGTGCCTTATGAAAAGGAGTTTGCATTAATATTAGGTATTTGCTCGCATAAATGTACATAGCTAATTTATATGTATTATTCTATTTGTACAGATATATTCTCACAGAATTTTACCAGAAGAGACTCGTGTGTGTGGGGCCCATGCTTTGATTAAAAAAAATGCTAAAAAAATCTCCCACCCTTGTCTGTATTAATTCTATGATTCATCCTTCTGGTAGTGTAGAAGAGTTATTCGTGAAATCTAGAGTGCAGGAACTCTATGAATTGTTAATACTATATATTCGATATTGCTAAAACCATGACCAAAAAATAAAAGGTTTTTCTAATGCTAATGTATCGTCTTAAATTTTGTATAAAATGAAATCTAAATTTTAATCTAAATCAAAGTTAACAATTAATTTTAATAACATATTTCATGAAATCCTTAATTTTTATCAAAATTCTCAATAAATTTGAATTTTTCTATTTTTTCTTACTCTATCTTACTATCTCCGTCACGCCTTTTACTAAAATATTAACCCTTCTAATTTTTTAAAATTTGAATTTAATTTCTCTACAAATTATCATATCTACTACAAATTTTCATTTTTCAATTAATTATAAACTTTATTTGCATTTTCCCCGATCATATTTGTGAATATAGAATGTGTATTATATCTAATTTAACTTCTATTTAATGAATTGAGTTTATTTGATTGATTATTAGCATTGAATATTGGTTATATGTTTTTCCTTTCAATTACTTGAACTATCAAATGCACCATAAATTTTTTTAATGTAAATATGCATTTTCTTGTGATGAGCAAAATATTAATAAAATGATTGTTCGAAATCAGATGGATGAAAAAATGATGAGTAAAATATTAATGAAGAAATATTTTTTAAATATAAATTTGCATTTTTCAGATCAAGTATGAATCATTCAAAAATTAAAAATAAAGTATTCGATTCGTACAAAATTTGATTATGCCTCTAACTCAAAATGTCTACGTCTGTCCCTGCGTAAAGCACAAGCCCTTATCTCGCCTCATCTACCCTCAACATCTATCAAGTGCCTGGTCAAATATTCTCACTGATTGCTAGACATTTTCCCCTCCACAGCGATCATCTTCATATGAAACATGTCGAGTTTTCTCGCGTCTGAATGAATTGGATTTAATTGAATTACGGGCCGTGGGCTCCTAGAAATTTTAAGAGGAAATTACAAAATTTCGGGTATTTAAAAATCAGAATTCAAAAATTAGGGGCAAGTTTTATTATTCACAATTCAGGTATTAATAAATAAATCAACCAATTTCAAACCAAAATTTTAACCCCATTACCCATCTCTCTCTATCCTCTTTCTTCCCGTCTCTCTCTAAACACACAATGCAACCAATTTCGTTTTTCAACAACACAGTGCCGGTCGGCCTTAATGAGCGGCACCGCTGCATTGCAGAAAAATGGTGAATGGGTAATGCATAATTTGTGATTACAGATTCCATTTAATTAGTATTTGAGTGTTCCACTTCTCTCTCTAAACACACAGTGCAATCGATTTCTTTTCGGCGTTTTCCAGCAACACAGCGGCGCTGGCTGGCCCTGATATGAGCGGCACTGTTGCATTGCAGAAAAATGGTGAATGGGTAATGCACAATTTGTGATTACAGATTCCATTTAATTAGTATTTGAGTGTTCCATGCTTCGCTCTGTTGTTTTCGGGCTAATTTAATTTATGTTTGTTGAATCTCGAGGTTTAGGGGTAAACATTGTTGGCATTAATTTTTGATTTTCAATCAAAATCATGGTTTTCTATCCAATGGAATACAGAAATATCAAAAAAAGGACTAGATTTTCTCCAATTAGATTTTCCCCGATTAGATCTAGTGTCGGTAAAAAGGATTCTCCGGTACACATTTCAATGATGACAACGATGATGAGGTGGTGTTAGTTTTGGTGGCGGGAGTTTTGACAACGATGATGGTGATGGTGATGGTGATGGTGATGGTGAGTTTTGGTGGTAGTAACAAGTGTTTTGATTGTTTGTGATAAAGAAATTGGCATATGTGACTAACCATTTGGTTATTTGTGACCAACTGTTTAAGTATGATCTTAGAATTTGACAACATGTGACCAATTAATTTGACATTGAAATAATCTGTGGCCTATAAATTTTGTCTGTGATTTCGAAATAATTTGTGACCTACAAATTTTTTTGATTTGTGAACAATTAATTTGATGATATGTGATCAAAAAATAAATTTGTGATCTATAATTATGAATCTGTGACAATTAATCAAGTAACTGTGACTTTATTACAAATATTCAATAAATATTTTTAATTAATTAAATACAAATCTGAATTTTGAATTTTTAAACTATTTACTTGATGTTTGAAATGGTGTAAAGAATACACTTGAGATATGAATTTTCCCCAAAATTTTAAGTATCAGATTTTTATCATTAAGTTTCTGGGTAATCTCCTTAATTGGGCCCAATTCCTTTGGGTCCAACAAACGAATATCGACCTTTACTTCAGGCTTCAACCCATTACAAAGGTACTTTTCAGTACCTCGTCTGAGATTCCTCTCAACGAAGAATCGACAAGTTTGAATTCTCGTCGAAAGTTCGCCATTGATTCACTCTGTTTGATGGTCAGAAACTTTTTCACAGAGGCCTCCCTCTTGGGTCAGCCTGAAACTGTTGAGAATTGGCACTCTGGCCTCCGTCCTTTAAAGCCATGACAAGGTGTTATTGTCCAGACTCACAACGATTGCTCCCAACTTCTCTTGTTCTGGTAAGTCATTAACATTTTACACCAAATAACCAGCCATCAGGATTTTCCCCCCATAAAATGGGCATTTCGAGCTTGCATGTTTGCCTCCAATTTTCCCAAACTCTTTCGTTATCATGGTTCACTAGGACTTCACTGAAACTGGCCTCACCTGAGCCCTCCCACCATGTTTCTCGGTCAAAAGTATGTTGAACACCAATGATTTCTGACAATTTGTTCTACGACAATGGGCCCTTGACCACACTGCCTGATCCTTCTCCTTCCCAGCTTCTGCCCAGCCCTATTTTAGCACTAGATAGGGCTGCTATTGTTCTCCTCGTTTCCTCTATGGATTGTAAAATTTTGGCCATGTTTTTGAGTTAACTAATTTACTGATTTCTCCAATCCACGAAGGCGTTGCAACTCTGCCTTCGCTCTTTCATTTCATTTTCTATTGTGTCCACCTTGCCGTCTATATTTTTCTGTGCCATCAGAAGGAACCTCTCTGAGACCAATTTGATGGGAATCCAACAGGAAAAATATAGACAATATGAATAAGCAAATTTTAATTGAATGCTGGAAAAGATTACGATAAAATGAGATGACAATTGCATATGGAGGGCTGTGACAGTAGAACTAGCTCTCATTTCCAATTCTGTATTCTCCCCTTAATCCCTCCCCTATTCCTATTTTCCACCGACACATCTCTTCCATTCCCACCACTTGCTCTTGTAACCAATTTCATTTATTCCTTCCTTCCAATTGCTTTTCCATCCTTCTGGAATCTTATAGAATAGGTGAAATGGATGAGAGGTCTATCATAAACCAAGCGTTATGCTGAGAGAACTACATATAACTACGTGCTAGATGTAACTCATAATATAAAAATGTACTGAATGTTAACATTACTTCTATAAACCTTAAATTTGGTTTGTACCTTGTTGGTAAATAGAATTTCCATGGATCAACTGAGGGATACCACATTAAGATGATGAACACAACAGGAGCTGGTGATTCTTTTGTGGGAGCCCTTCATGGCATAATCTGGGTAATTTCTAGGTTTATGTATTAAACATTCTAATTAACTTTAGAATTTGCAAAACACTAATTCTATTGATTTCTTGATTTGCGGGGCGAGCCTAGATTGAAGGAAGTGCTTAAATTTGCATGTGCCTTTGGAGCAATCACGACTGAAAAAGGAGCCATCCCAGCTCTCCCGACCAAGAAAGAAGTCCTCACTGTTCTCAAAGCAGGAAAATAGAAAAAAGAGTTTCCTCCTTTCCTAATTTTGATTTTTGACATGTTATTGGTATTATTTGCAATTCTTAATATGTTTCCAATTTCTCAATTTCAAGTTTTCTTTTTATTTGCTTGTAAGGGTGCAATAATTTCTTTTATAAGTTAAATAAATATCGATTCATCATATTTCTCAATTACTCTTAAAATGTTGCTGGCTTCCAGTTGCAGCCACCATTGAAATCTGCTTTTTCCTTTTCCTACAAGTAGATTCATAGGCACTGTATTAATACTTGCTAAGATCGCCAGCCGCCAACCAAGCCAATGCGCCATCCATATCCCTTAACGATCCAGTTACCGAGACTATCGAGACAATTAAAATAGTATTTCCTTGTTCGATAATATTGAAGATTATGCAGGATTATATACCAAAAAGATCCTTTTTTGCCTAATGGGGGTATTCCTACGTATGAGAACATAATAATGGAGAATCTAATAGCCAAAACCAACTTAAGATCCAAAATCCAGCTTAATTAGGCACTGCTACCGAATGCACGTTACATTTATGGTAGGTAATATACTAAACACAATTAAAGCAAAAAATACTTTCCAGCTATAGATACAAAATCCAGCTTAAAATGAACTTATTTCCGCCCCTATGCTATAACCTAAAAAGAAAAAAAGGGAGTTGTAAGTACGTCTACAATAACATATGTGTTAGATCTGTTTCACATCCCTCAAACTTCAGTTTATCACTTTTCTCTCAAATTGCACCTCAGCCAATAACATTGGTCTTTTTTTTTTTGTTCGAAGAGATTATTCAGCAAAGATTGATTCTATTGAGGTTGCTTTCCAGATATTCACTTCAAAACTAGTGTCGTTATTTCTAAGTTAGAATGCTTTGAAACGGAATATGACTATATTTGCAGACATTATTGTTCAAGGATGGTGGGAATCTGTCCAACCAACTTAATGTGTAATCCAGAGTGAATTTTAAGATAAAGAAATATAGTAGTAAAAACAAAAACCTCTAATGTTCTCTGAAACCCAATAAATTTGTGTGAAGAAAGCAATGAAATTTCTACTACCACTAGTTATTACGTTGGAAATTTTGGAGGCAAACCTTCTTGCAATATTTTGAAAATACACCAAATCAATTTAGCAGTTGAGTCATCTTTCTGCATCCCATGCATAAGACAAAACTATCTGCACCAACAATATAACATATTTACACACGAATTTATCCAAAACTAGAAAACCTAAAGAATTTGCAGTTTATACAAAAACAATCACCTTCTT